GCTTCTTACAGCAGCTTTTTAGTACAAAAATTTAATTTTTTTACTAAAAAGCTGGTATAAGAAGCATCAAAAAAGCCGTCCCAAACAAAGTCTTAAACTCTTCATAAATACAACATTATGTACTTCATGATGAATTAATCAACTGAGTTTTTATCTTCACCTCCTAATCTGCATATGCATGCTTGCTCAATTCAATGTTTTCTTTCTGCTCATTCAATTGGATACCAAAATTCCTTCTCCCCTTCATATTTACAAAATAACTCAAACTTTCAACTTATGTTGCGTTCTTAGCTGATTATTATTCAGCTCTTTAGTCTTATTTGGGACAAATTTTTACTACTTTTTAAAGAAGCCATTTTTTATAAAAATTTCTAATTGTTGCGGAATAGAATATATGCGGCGATAGAGTTAGAATGTTTACGTCTCAGTGTTGTACGGATATCCAGCACACAAGCAGGAAATGAAATAACACCAAAATTTTTATGTGGAAAACCATGGAAAGGGAAAAAACCACGGGGGTCACGCCCAGTTGAAAAAGTTCCACTAGTGTTTGTTTGAGATACAAGAGGCTGACTCGTCCTTGAAATTTAGGACGATCAGATTACAATGAATCACTTCTAAATTGAAATTCAGTTACAACGTCGGGCAGAGTTCCGGCGTCACTTGGAGATCGGGTGGAATTCTGGTGTCACTTGAACGTCGAGAAGAATTATGGCATTACTCGGGCGTTGAGAAGAATTTTGGTGTCACACGGGAGTCGGGCAGAATTCGGCGTCATTCGGGCATCGGGCTTAATTCCCTCGTCACTCGGGCGTCGAGCAGAATTCTGGCGGTGATCGTGGAGGAGTTTTTTCCCTCCAATCCTTCTCGATCTTCTTCTTCTCTTCTTCTTCTTGCTTGGGTTCTCTCTCATGAGAAATAAGTGGTCTATTTATAGATATTATGGAGTGGCATAGCTTGTAAATAGGTAAAAGATCAGGGGTAAATAGGGAGTGGTCGGATGGATGGCCGATATTGAATCTCTTGATCGTGCACCGTTCGTTAGACATTTGAAGGTCTTAATGATGTTGGAATTTAGTGATCTTAGGCTCGTTGGATTTGTCCCGTCGAACTGCTCGATTCGACTATAAGAACGTCATATTTGGAAATCGTTTGGTAACTCAAATTATGGTTTGAACTTTCCGACAACGCTTCGAGTGCTTGATTTAGACTCATTTGGGCTCAGATTGAGTCGAATTTGGTTTCGTGTAGTTCGTATTTTTGGGATGCTCAGTTTGACTGTAAGTTTGCTGAAATTGGAGTTCAGGTGATCCCGAATTTAATTTTTGAAGCTTACGTCCTGATTTTGCCTTAAGATTCGTGCCCGTGCAAGATAATTTTTGCATGATATACCACTAATAAAAGGAATTTTTATTCTTAAAAGCTGCTAAAAGCAGTAAAAAAATTATCACAAACAAAACATCAGTAGCATCAATAAGTTTTTATATTAATTTGAGTATAAGAGAGTGAGTCATTCTCTTCATATGACTATTTGTTCTTTTGAACGTGCACATCCTATTCTACTTCTTTCTCATAATTATCACCACCCTCTCTTAAAATTCGTGTAATTGTCTTTCCCTTGAACCAATAATGTCTCAAAAGGCTACATATAAATGACTAATTAATATAAGTCTTCGTTTGGGACGGCTCTTTTATTGCTTGTCAAAACAGCTTTCTAGTTTAAAAATTTTTATACAAAAAGTTGTTTTAAGAATCAATAAGAAAGTCGTCTCAAACAAAATCTATTTTTTTTTTGCTTCTTCATAAATCAGCTTTTTAATACAATTTTTTTAATTTTTGTACTATAAAGCAGCTTTAAGAAGCAGTAAAAAGGCCGTCCCAAACGAAACGTAAGTCTTTCTCAATAGCTTTATGGACCTTGAGGGGTTAATAAGTATCTAAATAAAATAATGCAATAGAAAGATAATATAAAGTTAATTTAAACCATAATATGCATATAACTTACATAATTATTGCTAAAAAGTGATTAAGAAAATATTTACTCATTGTCTTTGGGGCTTTATATCCCAAATTATATCATGTCCTTGTTGAGCCCTTTAAATAAAAATAAAAAATTATTATTGCTAAGATCTTAGTGAAAAATAGTAATCTTAATTATCAATTATTCTTAAGCTAGTGTGGCTGGATGCATTAGAAGAGATTGTGAATGCTATGTAACATAAATAATAATAATCATATTTCTATTTAGGTTTGAAGGGACGACATGATAGGATTGTTGAAAGCTTTGAGCAGTATGAAGTCTTGTTGACAGGCGGTTTTTCGATCAATCGAGTAAGGATATCGTCGAACAAACAACTTAGAGTAAATGGTTTGAGCAAAAAATAATAAATGTATGTTATTACAAAACTAATATGATTTATAGAATTAATAGAATTAATCATTTACTAATTAATCTAATATGATTTATTTTTTCTAGTTATTTACAAAACCATTTAGTAATTATTTTGATCCTAAAGCCAATTGACCTCCATGATCAAACCAATCTTGGGCTTTCAACTTGCTACCTCTAAAAGTTACCAAGTCCCACAACTCCTTATGTAACAACAAGCCTTTATTCCACTATATGGGGTCAGCTACATGAATCATTTTTTCTCCATTGTATTCTATGAGTCAAAATCTTATCTAAATCTAATAAAAAAAACATTATTTCTAATATTTTCTAACCAAGTCTTTTTATGTCTACCTCTACCTTTCTTAACACAAGTCAAATTAATCTAATACATTCACTTTCCTAACCGGTTCATTGGAAGGCCGCCGTTTTATGTGATCAAAACATCTAAGGCGACTCTCTCTAATCTTATCTTCCACTAGAGCTACTCCATCCTTTCCACGTATATGTTCATTACTTATTTTTTCTCTAAGAGTAAAGCCACTCATCCACCCGAGCATCCTCATCTCTGCACCAGTTAACTTAATATTATGCTTCACTTTTAATGGCCAACATTATGCACCACAAAATATTACACGTCTCACTACCATTTCATAGAATTTTCCCTTAAGTTTAATTATCACAAAAAAAATATTGCCTTGGCCGCTACCACTAGCCCTCACCTCCATGAGTGCCACCAGTCTGCCATCATCATCATTGAGCTTTACACTACATTTATTTTACTTCAAGCTAAACAAAAAAAGGTAGTCACCTCCATCCACAAAACTCTAAATATTTCAAACACAATACATTCATTTTATATTGTATATATGACAAACCTTTATTATGCACATACAAGAACTTCAAATAAATTATAAATCATATTATAGTAATGTACAATACAAAAAACATTCCATCTTATTCATTTTAAATTCTAATTTCCATATAACAAAATAGGTAAGCATCACCTCATAACTTAGTGGGAAGAAGCATGGAAGGCCGGGCTCAAAAGTGACAAATGGCACACTTGTATGGATTAATAGCAAGCTATATAAAGAGTTTGTGTGCTTTCAAATTTCAATCCTCATCCCTCAACTCAATTTACATTCCTTAGCCTTTCAACTAGCTATTGTCATGGCATTCTTTTGCCATCCTCTTTTCCATCGTGTTCTTATCCTTCTTGTTCTTGTCTTCATGTCCAACATGATGACCGCGTTCATGACTCAACAGTATTTGGGGGAAATCAAAAATCCTAACGATGATTACACAGTACGAAGCGTCGGACAATTCGCTATAGCACGCCACAACTTTGATCTCAAAAATAGTAAATCACTTCTTTCATTTTGTCGAGTGCAAAGTGCCCAAAAAGAACCATTTTCATCGGATTCATCCAAATACTCTATGAATATTGTGGCACAAGATATGGGCAGTGGGATGAAGTATATCATCCCTGCAGGGGTGATCATTTATAATGATCCTGACATGGCTCCATCCTTATATTTCTTTTTTGATATTCGTACTATTCATACGAGAATTAAATATGCCCAATGTATTTGATAAATGTAGTTATATTCTTGTTATTTTAAAATTGAGGGCCTAAGCTTATTTTGCATTTTTAGGAAGGATTTTTTAGGGATTTGGGAGGGAAATTTGAATGTATGGATTGTTTAGGGATTTTCTTTTAATTTATATGATTTAAATACTTTGTTTTACTAGGGTTAAGGCATCTTGAATTTGGCTGATCTTGGGATCTCTTAGGCTTTGGGCTCTAGATTCGTCTAGAGATTAGGAGAGATCGATCCTCCTCTCGAATAGAGGATCACTTGTATCTTGTTGTTTTCTTCCATTAGTTGATTTCTTATAATAAAATCTACTATTTTTCCTTATTTTCATTGATGTTTGGAAGAGTTTCTCACTATTTTATGATGGTATGAATATTGATAGAAAATACTTGAGATCTACAAGTGTTTCCTATCAAATTACTCTTAGTGTTTCCTATCACATTTTTATTTCCAAATTACAATGCAAAATACATAGATTAACAGAAACCTATAAACATAAAATAAAACGCAAAAGAAAGCCCCATCAATGCTTAGTAATGAAATAAATCTCTCGTTTACTTCCGCAAAAATCAAAACTCTTCGAGCCATCAAATTTCGCGAGATTAAGTTGTCAAGCATAATGATATAACATGATGTGTCATAAAGTATCCCACAAAGATCTAACAAACATAATATTAAAATTTATGTTCACATGATAGTAAGAGCTTAACTAAGGCTTCGTTAAGAATTGCTTTCTTACTAATTCTTGAAGCAGCTTTTTCATAAAAATTTTAATTTTATATTGTACTAAAAAGCCGTTTCAATAAGCAATAAGAAAACCGTCCCAAACGAAACCTAAATTCCATTATGCAAATTAGATACTAAAAAGAGTAGTTAACATATTTTGTCTACATTGAAGTCTCCCATATTCCTCTTATCTATCAAAATGATAATCTTTACTTTAAAATAAAAAATATCTATATTTATAAAAGTAGAAACCTCTATATAAAAGTTTCCCAAGCAAACAAAAGTTGGAGCAAAAGTAAAATACAACACAAAATAAATCATTGGATTTACATTAAGATGCGTTCAGTACAAATTTTGGTTAGCTTCACATGGATTTGCTTTGAGATCTATCTCAATTAGATCTCATCCATGGAACAGCTATATTATGTACATCAGCCATGTCTCCAAAGGCAGCAAATTCCCAATCTTTAAGGACATGGAAGTTTAAGAGAGCTCTAACCAGATAATTTTCTTCTCTTCTGAAGCCTCTCACTCTTCCACCCAGCTGCGGAACCGCCTCGCCGCCGTCTTTTGGGTTTGCGACCTCTCCTCTTGCCTGTGTAGTTGAGTGGCTGAGAAGCATCAACTGCCTCTCCGTCGAGGCTTTGATCTGCCGATTCTACAGCAATGGAGGCAGGGGAAGGAGCAGTGCTCCCATCATCAGAATCTGGTTCTTTGCTGGTGGCTATCTCCCTAAGCAGCTTCTCTCTCACATGGCTGACTTCGAAATTCTGAAGCTCTTCATCCGCTGCCTGATTGTTAATTAATACATCATCTGCATTCTGTATTCAAATGAAGTTTCAATACAGTCACTCTCAAAAAAATTCAATTATGTAAAATCTGACCTGATTGAATTTACTATATTAAAACAGTTGTATGAAATCAGATGCAACAATATAATCCTAGAATGGTAGAAAAGCACATTGTTAATTTTGATATAAAGGAAAAGCTAACAATCCGACGACTGTAAGATTTTTTTTTTTAACTATAAGATCAATCAGCACCCTTCCTTTTTTTTCCTCAAAAAAGGTGGGATTTTTCACAAATAAATGATTATCACAGCATTTGTTTAAATAATTTCAAAGAAGAAACTTACATCTTTGCAGAACTCTTCCAACTGATTTGGATTTAAAGGGCCATCAGCACCAGACAAGAAGCCCATTGTACTTTCCATAATGTCAAGATCTGGAGCATCACCAAAGCTTGAGACTGCACTACCAGGCAAAACCATATCGTCCATCTCATCGTACTCAGAACCATGGTGAGGTGGGGTGTTCGGAACTCCTGCCGGCATTTGATGTCCAATATTGCCAAGAGAGCAACTTGGACTTTGTGCAGAACTAACGGGTTGATCTCCCATAAAACTACAGCAAAGCGTCACATCCCTGACATTCATGATTATTATCTGGTTGAGATGAGCTTTTGCCTTCAGAACTCGAGACTGGAGAGCTTCAATATTCAGGAGGACTTGCTCAAGGGAGCGATCCCCATCCCTAAAGTCTAGTGCCCATAACTGATCATGGCTGCCTCTTGTTATGTCATTCACTGCTTGGTATAGGCAAGAAAACAAAGTTAAGAATTAGAAGATGTGAAAGGATCCATGGCTCGGTTGAAGGAGAAGGCTGTTTCTTCAAGATTTGAATTCAAATAATGTATTTTGCAATTTAAAAACTCATCATTTAAAAAAACTAACCTAAATATGAGAAAATTAAAAAAAAACAGATTAACTTCTCATGCACTAACAATAAATATAATTCTTGCCATGTAAGTTAATATTCATGCAGAAAGCTTCAAATATTTTTTTTATTAAAAATAAAAAAATTGCCGCCAAACTGAAACATAATTAATAAAAGAAAACCCATGAAAATAAAAAGAACACGAAAATATGGAAAGATTAGATAACATCAACAGGAACATATCACAATCGGCAAAATCAAGAGTCTCTAAAACAATCTGAGCAATTTGTTGTCCCATAACAGCTTTTAAAGATAATTTTATCATGTCCTGGTGAAAAAAGCCTTCTTTGAGAATGGTAAGCAAACTATGCACATGCATTGGCCAAAATAATATCATCATCAACTATGTGTGATCAACTTTAATAAGAATTTTTATCACAATTATTCGGGTGTTGCTTTCTAAATACTCATTGTTTATTCATGGATGTTGAGTGTTATCTAAGATATAATGCATATTCTTTCAAATCATTTTGAAAGAAGAGGTGTCAATTTGGGTTGGTAGGTAGGGTTTGAGTCTAACCCAAAATTTATCAAGACCTGAACATGCTTAACACAAACATGCCCCATTTAACATACAAGTCAAAATGTTTTACCAAAACCCAACTCGGCCCAAGCCTGACCCATTTATCATATAGATCATATATATTTTTGGATCAACACGACCTATTTAACCTAAATAATACTCGTTTAAACCGAAATGATACATTTAACCCGAACTTGACCCATTTAACATGAACCATAATGATATAATCCGGGAAATTTCAAATTTTTTAGGTCAACTCGAATCCAACCAAAAAATTTATCCAATCAAGATTTTCAACCCCAACTCAACCCAACCCGAAAATTAATTTGGTCAATTCTAATAGATTTTTTTTTGTGGGGTTAGGTCGAGTTGTCGAGTCAAGTCATTCATTGAGAACTCATAATCCATCCATGTTACCTTAGGATTATCCCATCTTCCCAATCCCCCAACATTAATTTTATCTACTAATCTAACAGGTAGCCTTATTTACATATTCAAACATCTAGTCTATTTTAGCATATCTTCAATATATACCACACAACCATTCATCAAATATAATCATTTACTAATTTAGCAAGCATAATTTTCCACACATTCATCTTAACATCACATTCAACTTAACTATCTACAACCTTTTTTTAACCCAAAACTTAAATCCATACAACATAATTTTCTAAAAGTTCTCCTTAGATCTCTTAAGGCACGTCTCCATCTTAAACCACATAACTTTAACTCTAAATTTTATCTCATCTATATCACCTTGAAGATATCATGCCTAGTATCACTTTTTATCTTCTAACAACATTAATTGAAAATTATTAGTATCACTAAAATTGCATATCATAAATTTAGTCTTTGTTTTAATAAATTAACATCAACAAATATCCTAACAATTAGAATAATGTTGTATTCAAAAGCTAACATCAAGGAACCACACTTTGAATGTTTCTTTTAAGCATCTTTAAAACTAATAAAAAAGGTATTGACTCAATGATAATCCTACATTTAATTAAAAATTCTTTTGCCACTCCATAATAACATTTTTTACTCACCCTAAAGTTCACAATGTGAGATTTATTATAGCATAGGTGATGAACCAAACTATTGGCAGCAACTTCCAAGGCCCTTACCAATCAGATTAGCTACCTACATGCATATCTTTTATAATTTAAACATAACTTTAACACGCATTTCTTCCTTGATGTGCAATAAATTAATTCTCATGATATTTGATCATATGCCTAATCAAGTTCATTAAAAATTCAAAGAAGACACTTTCTTAGAGCTAAAAATTTTCATTAATTGCCTTAATCCAAAAATCACTCTTATGGCAGATCTTCAGGGAATGAAACCAACTAATTTTTCAAAACAGATATACTTTTTTCTAATTCTAAGAGTCTCTCCATAACTTCATTGCATGTCTAAAATGAGTAAAATCTAATTTTCTTTTCATAATTAACATAATCATGAACATCGCATTTGTTATTAAATATTGGTGACAAAGCATTTCATTTCAAATCAATTAACATCCCTTTAGAGTTCAAAATCCAATGAAAAGATTTTTAACCAAAACACTGCAATGTTACTTATAACTATACAAATAGCAATACACATCTCATATGGACCTAAAGTTTTACCATTATGTATCTTCTTCAAAATTAACTCCACATCTCTCCTTGAATGGTTTGGTCACATAAAACAGCGGCCTTCTGATGACCCGGTTAGGAAAGTAGATGCATTAGATTTAGCTTATGTTAAGAAAGGTAAAGGTTGACCTAAAAAGTCTTAGTTAAAAAATATTATAAATTACCTTCTTTTTTAGATTTAAACAAAAATTTGACTCTTAACAGGACACAATTGAGAAAAGGTATTCATGTAGCCAATCCCACGTAGTAGGATAAAAACTTGATGTTTTTGTTGTTGAAGTTCCTATTTAATATTTTCTCAATGTGGCATTTTCATCTTTCTTTAGTGTCTTCATTTTTAATTTAAAACCTATTGTATTTCCTTTTAATCCATCAAACCTAATAACAATCTTTAAATATCTTATCTCTTATCTAAGGTATATCATCATTTCTTCCTCCTTAGCACCAAGTCTATTACATAAATCACCAAATGTCATAGTTTTTATTTGGCTTCACTAACTACTTCATAAGACTTTGAGCTTTCTTACAATCATTATAAGCCTTATTAGTATTTAAGTTTTGATATTCTTTAAAAACAAATTTATTTTCCTTAACAATCATTTACACCTCACTCCACTGTTAAGTCTCCATACTCAACTATGATTTCTTCATAGATTCCTCTAAAACTTATAAGGCAATCTTCTTATAAAATTAATCTTACCCCATATCAAGTTTGGCTGACAAAAAGAATTATAATTTCCCCTCTAAGCAAAATATATTAAAATATTAACAATTTCTCATGTTTTCACTTCCACCAACTTATCTTAAGACTATTACTTCTTATGACCGTTTTCATCATACTTATCTACATCCATAATTATCGATCTATGTTATAAGATCGAACTCTCCTAAAATCACCTTGAGATCTTTGAAAATAGATTTTTCTTTCAATTAAAAAAAAAAAAAAACATAAACTAATTCAGATTTGTTGCCTCCGTTTTTAAAAGTAATTGCATGGTTCACTAGTCAAAGTTAATTTGTAGCGAATTGCCAATAGGCAAGCCTAAATACTAATAAAATTTAAACTTTAAATCTATTTCATTACTTTTGGCAAAAAATTTATAATTGATTAGAAACCTAACATCAAATTCAAACTTTATCCTTGCTGCCGAACATGAAGCTTTTCTAGAACAAAAAATATTTGCACATATTTACATGAATGTATTTGCTCAAAGGGAAAATTAATAACCATCAATCCACTAATACTTGTACTTTTTCTTATAAAACATCTCTCTTGGAGAATCAAGCCCTTGAGTTGAAGGCCAATGAAGGTTTGTTACATCCAGTTCAGCATGAATATTTAAATTTAACTATTTGTATTTAAGATGATGCCGTATTGAACTACAATAGGTCATTTTTTTCATATTTTAATGCCTGTAGAGCATAATGCAACCTAAGAGATTAAGGAAATCTGTCTCAGGAAATCAGGCCCCACCATTTTATTTCGTAGGAGTTGAAGGATTGAAGCTCTATCGAAAATCACTTATTCTAACAATTTTACTTGATCATATTCCCCTTGCTAACTTCAATGAACTATGTGACAAAGTGCCTATTTTTCTCATTCATATATGCTTTCATAGCGAAGCCTATAAAATATCCTTAGTGACTATCTTGTTAGTGACTATCTTGATCAGAATTAAACTAGAAAAGGGGGGTAAAAGGCATATAAGAACCCAAAAAAAAGAATTAAAAAAAAATGTAACAAAATTAAGCAAAATGGATTGTTTGGTTTCTAGTTAACTTTGCCTCTTGGTCAGTTATCAAAACCACAAATAGAAAATACTTTATTCAGTTCGTCCATCAAGTCAACCTAAGTGTTATAAACCATACTTAGTGCAAGAAGACATTGACTACCCTTGTCACAATGCAGAGTCAGCATGACTCATCATCAACAGCAATATCATTCTCCAAACCATTAGGTTTGCCTTTTTAAATCATTCTTAACGAAAGGTCATGTTTCTCCGTACAATACTATTCTTTGCATTTGTATAGTTCTTAACAAAAATGATATTCTTAGCATCTTTGAACCAACTTATCCAAATCAACTTGAGCATTTACTTAGTTTCAAACATTTTTGGTGCTTCTTGTTGTTTAAACATGCTCAACCAAAATCAAACCTTTTTTTACCATCTACATGCTCAACCAAAATCAAACTTTTTTCACCATCTAACATTCTGATAGATATTACCCCACACTCTTTCAAATTTTCATGTACTTTACCCTTCCAACTTTTTCCTATCTTAGCAGTGCAGCAATTCTTATAGTTAATTTATCCGCTTCTTTCATCAACTCCCAGATGCAAAAACATTACAACAACGCAAGAGATGGAATTAGTTCCATCAAATATTTTTTTTCTTCTTCAATTCCCACATATCTTATAGTAAGTACTCCAACAGCTCCTTTCAATTTAATGGCTCTTTTCAAGCATAAAATAGGACATTAAATATATCTATAATTTTAATAACTTTATATAAATGATAATTTTAATATAAGATGAAGGATAAAACTAAGAAGGTCAATGTGAGAAACATTAATATAGAAGAAATGGATCCACTATGTGATTAATGATGAGGTTCATTTACTTCCCAATATCCCTGGGGACAGCTTACATGGTAACTCATACGAAATCACCTAAAAAAACTTGCTTGTCCCCCCTGCCTCTTAAAAAGCTATAGAAAAGTAAAAAATATCAAAAACAAGAATAGCCAATGGTCCATGTGCAAAGTATGTATGTAGCCCCCCTCTCTCATTCTCATTCCACAACCCTTCTTTTCCACCTCCCTTATTGTTTCCATAAAACTTTGACAATTAACACCTAAGCTCCACAAAACAACTTAGGAGATGTAAGGATGCTATAGATATTCAACAAGTTCAACAAGAATTGTTCCAAGAACAGTGCTATAGACAATCATGTGGCAGTACCGAAGGAAGGTGCGTATAAGAGAATGAATGATATTGTCTGAATAACGTGACGATGTAAAAAAATTAGCCGTTTATCTTTTTGAACTTTATTAATTCAGATGTTTCTCGTATTTACCTTTACTTTTTTTTCCTTTTTGGGAACTCTCATCTCAATTATCTTATATTACAATTTAATGTCAATGGTTTCACTTTAACAGACAAAATGTTCAAATACCTAAAATCTCATTATGGTAAAACGAATAAATGATTGCAGCTCAAAATTCAAATCACTCTTTGGAAGGTAAAAATATTGAGCCAATGATGTAAGAATTTATATTTTCATGGTTAGGGAATAGAGGGTAAGTTGCCTTAAATATTAAATGCTCCCAAACCAAATAAAGTTAGTGGTGAATGGACATCTAGAAAGAAACTTTAAAATAATGACTAACCAAATAAAGTTAGTAGTGAATGGACATTTGGAAAGAAAGTTTAAAATAATGACTGTGCAGAGGAGTTTTTATGGTACAACTTTTGTAGAAACAAAAATAAAGGAACACGAATTATTGGCAAACATTCACAAAGAGTAGGTAACTGAATCTAACAGAAGCATTTTCACCTTGATCAGAGAAGTCATCATCAACAGAGTGGCCCTCTGTGTCCCCTCTCCTTTTTTCTGCATGACATTGTAACGCCTGATATAATAAATGATTCAGGCAATAGCAAGAAACCAATAAGAAATAGCAAAAATAATTACCATAGTATGAGAATATATTGTGGTTTGACATATATGATGATATATTAACACTATCCTCATTTCTTATCCTTTTTCTTCTCTTCATGGCAGGTTTTTTGTGCCTTTTACAAGCTAAAGGAACTGATCTTGAAACAGAATCATCTAGATCAATCATTTTTAACTGCAGTTGTTTTTCATGCTTGTAAGCCACTAGTTCTTTATCATATCTTAAAGCTTGTGATTGCAATTCTTTCATCCGCAGTTCTAACCATTGGCACCTCCACATAAGAGGACTGATAAACTTTTTCCAATCAGCAGTCACTTTGCTCTTCCTGAGAAGTTAAGCACAACTTTAAATTAGATGGAATAATAGTTAGTGCATTATTTTACTCAATAACAGACCCGCAGAATCAGGGCACAAGTTTTGTAACTTGGGCAATTTATAGAAGTTGCTATACCGTATTTAAGAAATGTACTATCTACAAGAGCAAATCTTCTAAATGAACTTATTGTTTATCTCTTGATCGTTTTTTTTTTTAAGGCCAAAGTGACAATCATAAGAAACATTCACTCAAATTTGCAGCTCAACATAATGTACTACTTGATCAATAACAAAAGTCTACATAGTGGCCATGTATTGCAAAACAAATAAATGAAAAGGAGTTTTAAGCCCATGACTTACCAAAGAAGGGCTATGAATTTAGCTTAAAAATCAACATTGCTAAAAGATTAGAGCAATTTTGACTTGAATCGAAGTCAATGAGCCGGATAATAAGGAAGCCTAGCTTGGAATGAATTCAAATTGAGCTGATCCTTGAGGATCAAGCAAACCCTAGATCAAATATAACAAGCTGAAGATTGGATTGAAATGTATATACATGCATGTATGGATAAGAGAGAGAGAGAGAGAGAGAGAGAGAGTGTATGTGTGTGTGTCACCGTAAATAAATGCATATAAACATGTATATGAATCTATATGTTTGTGAGTGGCTATATGTTAAACTAAAAATTTGTATTAGGAGATTAAAAAATGATCGAGATCCGACCAAGATAAACTATAATCAAACTTCGTTCAGTTCAGGATATGATCAAATGACTTTAAGCCAATCATGAGCTGAAGTTGGCTCGGTTCAAGATGGAATCAAATGGCTTCAAACCAATAATGAGCTATAAGGTTGGATCGGCATGAGATAACAGACTTACATAAAAACATAGTCAAAATTATGTGCCAGAAATATATCTAGTAGTTCATATTTCTTTGAGAATTTTAGCTTAATAATCCTATAAACTTAATAAATTACTCATTCTTCAACCTATGATGGTTGAAATGCATGAGAAATGACTAATAGTAAAAATAACAAACCAATTATACACACACACATACATACATACAAAATCCTACAAAAAAATATGAATCTATGACTGTTTATAAACAAGCAAATCCCAACAAAAAATGCAACCATGAAATGCCGAACCAAAAAATATTTCTTCAACTTAACAATCTAATAAAAAAACTATCTTATTAACAACAAGCCCAAAGACTTAGCTGCCATTTCACCATAAACATTAAGCTTGTACAAATTCATGCTTGAACTACACATAACACATAAAATTATGAAGAACTTTTTTATGCGCCTCCTTACCACGCCAAAAAGGTCTAAGAGGCATTGTCTTAAATGCAAGTAGATCGACACATTCTTGGATAGTTGTGGTGTGTAAATATGGGAAAGACCTATTTGTACAGACAATGGGGAGAAGAAGAAGAAGGCCAACTTGAATAAAGATTAAAAAGGCACCCGTCCATCTTCCTTAGCTTCCACCATACGAGAATAGGACTGTTAGCATCACATATGAATCAGATTACTAAGCGCAAGTCTTGCTAAGAAATGCGATTTTTCCTAACTGTTTGCTGCGACTGTAAAACTACACATATGAAATTATAGATTGCTAAATCAGGGATGAAGTAACAGATCAGAATAATTGAAGGCATAATAAATGAACCTACTTAAAAAGCCGGACAGGACCGCCGACGGCCCGCTGATGCCCATTCTCGATAAATAACGGTGACTCCACCTCCACATCACTGGAGTTAATCTTCAAGCCCTCATCTGATCCAGAGAACGTGTCCCCAAATGAGCTCGAGTGCTCGGTAGCGTCCGCGTCTGGGTTTTCAGCTTTCACGGCAGCCGTATAAATCTCTTCCTCACATCCAATAACATCCACCTCCTGATCCTTCTCTTTTTCTGCCCTAAATGAACCACCGTCGAAGCCATAATCACAGTTATCGGCACATGCAAGAGGACCCGCTCCCATGGTCGCCAACTCCCTCTCCTTTCCCTCCAAAACTGCACCTTTCACTAAAATTTCGGGCTTCGCTTCTTCTGTCACGGAATCGAGGGGTTGAACAAGACTCATCCTGCGAAACTTCGCTCAAAAA